ATAGTATATTAATATGTACAACTAAAATTACTAATAAAGATATGAGCAAGGCCTCACCTTAATACCAAAAAAAAATATTAAATAAAATTTATTTTTATTAAATAATTGTATTAAAAAAAACATTTCAAAAAAAAACTTATTTTTAGTTTAAACCATAACTTGAGTTATATCATGGTTTAAACTTTAAGCCATAGTATTTTAGCGTTAGATGCAGTTTTACTAAATTTATATATTATTTACGGCATAAAACGGGCCGATCTGTGAGATCTACATACGTACTTTAGTTCTAATAAATCCACCCGACAAGACTAATATCGTTGGCTGCCAACAAGACCACTGAATTTGTGAATAGAGCTAGATACTATTCAAATCTTAAAAAGAAGATCTTGAATTGTATCACAGGTATTGTGCAGTAATTAACAGAATCGATTATTAAAGCAGATTAACAACGAGATCCAAAACAAGAAAGTAGTTCAAAGATTGAGTCTTGACAGGTTCTTGAAAGGATCACCAATTACATTAAATCTATTTTAAACTAATGATAAAAACAAAAAGTGTTTACACATCTATCAAACGAATTATTTTTTTATTTTTTTTAAATGAAAATGATGTTTAAACTTTTCAAAAACAATAGAACTAGAATTAAACAATTTAGAACCCGAACCATATGATAAGCCCATAAGATGCAAATTATCACCATGTTTGGAAACGTCCCAAATTATTGTAGTTTCATCACCGGTTGACACATGCGTACGATAGGTACGTAAAAAACAAACTAATTGGAAACTAATGGGAAATTAATAGGTTAAAATATTAAGCAAAACAAACACATCGTAAATAGGAATTAAACTGATAACTTAAAAATATATAAAAAGAAAAGGATAATGAATATCTAAAAAAAAAAAAAACTTAACACATGTTCATAGAATGGGCAGACATCTAGTTAGACATCCCACAACTATAGGCATTAAGAGCTAGCTATATAAGTTTGAGATCTTTTTATAAGGAAATAGTAAAATCATTATATACATCAAACTTGGAAATTTTCACCCCAAACAAAATTGCGGTATAGGTGGATAATCATGAGACCTTAGTATGAATGTACTATCAACACCTTATTACTATTATACTTTTTTAAGAAATAAAATTATGTAGAAAAAAAGTAAATATGCGGGTCTTGTGACCTTTTATGTTTATACGCTTAGTAATAACATCCCTGACCTGTCAATCGATGGGGGGAGTGTAATAAGAAAATAAGTGGGGGTTAAAAAATCATACGAGTTTCTGTTTTTGAACAGCGTCAAAACCCACGATGGTTTGTTGAAGTAAATGGGGAAATCAGAAAAATGGAATAAGTGTTATGAGTAACCTTATTATATAAATAAGCTTACAAATAAAAATAAATAAGAAACCCTGAGCATTAGGTTTGAATTACCCTAACATGTCATTCTCATTTAGTCAGAAAAGGTTTCAAAAAAAGTAAGCTTGGCGCGAATCCGATTCAAATGACAGCTGTAATAATGATAATGATTATACCGATCACGATAATTAGTAGAATCTTGTGCAGAGTTTCTGAGATTTCCGTCCCTCAATTCAAAAATTTCACCTTGAAATAGTAAAAGAATTGGCTAATTTAATTATATTCGGACATTATACATCAAGGAAGGAATCATATTAAATGGTTACTAATTAATCAAAAGTTGAGTATTACCTTAGTATATAACACCGAATTTATATCTTATGTTAAAAATAAAATTTTACACTTATATAAATATTATATAAATGTTAATTTATATGATAACTTTATAAGCAAACATATTTCGTTGGTTTACAAAAAATTTATACACTCGAAAATCAAATAAAATTTTCATTATAATTAATTTAAAATGACGTTCTTTTTATTAACGGTCAATGCGCAGTAACACGTTTCCATCGAGTTTACAATTTGAAGAATTTGAAGAATTTGAAGATCATTTATTTATACATTCCGATAACTTATGAAAAAAATTTCCGTCTTTTTTCATGCTAAACTCATGCTAAAGGTGATATTAACTTCCTAACAAGTTGTAACTTGATGCAAATTTATAGTACTGCATGGAGAAATTTGCATATGTCAGAGAAATGTAAGTAGTGGACGGACGGACGTACGCACGCATTACTAATCACGAGAAATTTGACACCTGGCTTACTCTAATACGCTAATATGTATTACTTTTTTTCTTTTAATAATTTTTTATTATTTAAAATTATAAATGAGTACGTACCTGCAAGTTGTGTTGTATAATTTTTTTATAACGTTATTTAGCAATAAATAGCGCCATCAAAAAAAAAAAGTCAATCATATGAAAATCCACATTGCTACCACGTGACAACAAACGGTAACTTAACCAATATTATTATAACAATAGAGTTCTAGAATTAGAAAAAAAAAAAGAATAATGAATGACACATAATGACATATCTTTTCATTCGACAAATCCACAATGGGTCTCTTGTTCTAACATTATTCGAACAACAATGAACCATTTAATTATAGACACGTCGACAAAAGATTAATCATTGCACTATACATTATTGCTATATCTGTATATCGCACTATTAATTATTTATATTAGGGTCAACAAAGTTGCAAAGTTCAGTATTATGAAAAATTAAAATACAGTACATAATTTCATGCATAAACTCCGTTGAATTATTTAAGGAAATTCAGTACTCCAAGCTTCACATTACTCCGACCTCCAAATACAGCTTTGCATCAAAAAAATCTTTTGCCATCACGTGTTTTTTTATAAATGTAGTCTTTAAGGGAGAGTTTCATCTGCAGATAATATAATTATACAAGACTATGACTTTGTAAATAATATTTATTTCTTAGCTTGCTTAAAAGATCAAATGCAACGACAGTTATTGCCATTAACGTATGGGATAGATAAAGTATCTCGTCCAAAATATCTGATATTATCTCGATATCATCTTGATTAGTATAGATTAATGAAAGCCTTTTTTTCATACATGCAAATATATAAATATACATATATATATTTTATATACATATATATATATTATATTGAATGTATATTGTATTATGTATAACGAAAGAATTAAAAAAAATTTAATTTATTTTTTTTTTTGCAATATGTGAAGAATGTGGAGGATAAGAAATTCAAAAAAAATCACAGAGATATCTCAATTAGTATAAAATCTACTATCTGCAATTAACGCTAATTGTAATTAGAATTACAAAGTGTGCATATTGTTAATGGTATGCTATTCAATGTAAGTATGTACCCAGATTGATGTTCGGCAATCCAACTGTCTTTAGCGGAAAAAGTTGGACTAAATTGTAAATTTCTTTGTGTTATTTTAATCACATGAAACATTTCATTACCATATTTATTAAAAAAAAACCACGTATCGATTTTTCGATTTTTACTTTAATGCACAGTATATGCTAGCTTAAAAAAAATACCCCCCAAAATAATGAATTTATGAATGATAATTTCAGTATCTCCGTTGATTTTTTGACTAAATATGTACAGGAATAACATCTATTTCCTTTGCTTGAATCTTTAAAGCAATTAACTTTTATCTATTTACTAAATAAATAATAAAGTGATAAGTGTGATGTGTAGATTAATAGCTTTAAGTGACTTTAAGTTTGCATGGACTTTTTAGATAACATCTGATGATTCCTATTTTATTAATTCATCGGCGGCATAAAATTCAGTACCTTGAATACTTTGATCATTAAGGAAAATTAAAAATGTTCTCCGGAAATAAAGCGATGAATAATTTTTTTGGCTTTTTTTTATTTTTTTTTTATTTTGTAAAATCTAGAATGAACAAAATTAAAATATAGAGCGAAGAAAAATTATATTGTAAAATCTAGAGCGAACAAAAATTATTTTGTAAAACCTAGAGTGGATAAAAATTATTTTGTAAAATCTAGAACGAACAAAATTAAAATACAGAGCGAACAAAAATTATATTGTAAAATCTAGAGTGGATAAAAATTATATTGTAAAATCTAGAGTGGATAAAAATTATATTTTAAAATTTAGAACAAACGAAATTATATTGTAAAATCTAGAACGAACAAAGTTATATTGTAAAATCTATAATGAACCAATTGTATATAATATCTAGAACGAACCAAATTATATTGTAATATCTAAAGCGAACGAAAATATCATTATTGCAAATTATAATAAAATTCAGCGAACAAATTTATAGTAACATTCAGGTTTTATTTTAAACATAAATTTTTTCATAAGCCAAAAAATATCTTGGCTTTAAGATTCATTTAATGCAGACTTTATTTTTGTAAAAAATTTCCATCGGCATATATCTCAGAATACTTCAACTTAATTAAAAGTTACGAACAAAAAGAATTTAACCCTTAAAAAAGTAAAAAAGCAAAAAAGCGAGCTTAATGTTATTGAACCCTTAATGGTTCGTTCGTAATGTGATGATTTTTATGTACAATGAAATGTGTTATGAAAAGAAAAAAAAAAAAAATACATCGAAAAAAATTAAAAAAAAAAAAAAGTTCGAAAATAAAATTCATTGTCGAAATTGAAAAAATAATACTAGTGCAAATTTTGTTACATTTTTACAAAGAAAAAAAAAAAAAAAGTCGTTATATACACGACACTCGATATTGAAGGTTTTAGACAACTTTTCTAAAGTTGCCAACTTGCCTATTGTTTGTTTCGGCGATGAACGCCTGACTACCTAACCCTCCGCAATGGTTTGGTAAAAATTGTGTTTTATTGTTTTATTATCGATTAACGATTAGCGATTAACGATGCGATTTCGAGTTATTTATAAAGATGCTTGTTGTGTTTGTGATTTATTATTACCTTCGATGCTTTGTTTCGATATACGAAAACCGATTGCCTTTGGCATGGAATTCTTTTTGAACGATAAAACTTGTTCTAAATTTGAATTGAAATGTACAACTTTACTATGAAAAGTATCCGTGCTTTGATTGTTTTTGTCTTTAAGAGATGGTTTCACAATTTCTCCACTCTTTTTTCGTACTACAGTTCTAATTGGTTTAAGAAATGTGTCGCGAATAATGCTACGACGTCTTAAAACCATCGGTGATCCTGGTCTTCTTTCGGTTATAATTGGAACATTCCTTGTTGTAGCATTTCTAGTCGTAAAATTTTTCGAATTTGTATTTGTGTTCTTTGGTTTGGGTAAGTGTGAATTTGCTAGAGAATATGCAAAACTAACATCTGATTCTTGCTGATTGACTTCCGTGATATTACCAAATGTTAACTTTGCAATAAACCATACTTGAGAAATAAATGATGTGGGAAATGCTGGTGACGATGATGTAGAGGATTTAGGTGAAGAGGGCATAGAAAATTTAGGGGATTTAGGTGAAGAGGGTGTAGAGAATTTAGAGGATTTAGGTGATGAAGGCATAGAAAATTTAGAGGATTTAGGTGAAGAGGGTGTAGAAAATTTAGAGGATTTAGGTGAAGAGGGTGTAGAAAATTTAGCGAATTTAGGTGAAGAGGGTGTAAAAGATTTAGAGGATGTTGAAGACGTAGAGGACATTTTGATTTGATAAATTTGGTTAGGAATTTGTGGAAATAAATGTTGTTAAAATAGTGTAATAAATGTTGTTAAAATAGTGTAATAAATGTTGTTAGAAATTTGTGCGATTGGTTTTTTGTTGACAATTTTTTATTCCAAGGATTTATAAATGTTTATTTATTTATTTATTTATTTTATTTGTTTATTTTATTTGTTTATTGAGGATGAAATCTGATTTTTTTGATTTTTTTTTCGTAGAATTTAGGTAGTTTTTAAATAGAATTTGAAATTTCCCTCTGATCAACACCTAAAATAAACCTAAGACCTAATTTATCAAGTGATAATGCAAGACGCATACATACAAAGAATAGTATTGTGCTCCATACTTCATATATGTAATGTCGCAGATTATCTCGGGAATTCACCCCCAAATGATAAGTCATGAGTATAAGTCATGAATATACTAAATAACGACTATATAAATGATGAAATATATTACTTGCGTATTCTCACCCCTCCTGAGCATCACATGTATGCACGTAGAATTTTTCACAATATCTTGCATCTTAGAGTAAACGAAATTTGTATTTTTTTTACCTATTAAACATTTGTACAACACAACTCCCCGCGGACTATTTACATTAACCGAACCCGCGCTTTAATAATGTGTCTTTTAAAAAAACCATTCACCATATTGTTATTGTTATTGCAGAAACTTAAAACCTTGTTTCATTTACCCTAAAAATCAGCTGATAATTTCGGTTCATTGAGCTCACCTTACATTTTTTTTTTATTCCCATTCGATTATTTATGTTTGACTTGTTCAGATTTGGTAAATCTTTCTTTACTTTTAATCTTTTCATTATTGTGAATTTCATAAAATAATAATTATTATCAAAATACGTATCAGGCATTAAAATAAGTATTAAAATACGTATTAAAATACGTATTAAAATAAGCATTAAAATAATTATTAAAATAATTACTGTATTAAAAACTTTTAATTATTCATTCAAATATTTTATTATTATTTTCATATGCTCCTTTTTCACATTCCAGATTAGATAATCAAGATTTTTTAAATTTCTCAAACGCTTCAACCCCATTTCATTATCAACTATATATGTAATACCATTTTCTGGGGAGACAAAAAAAAAAAAATTTTTTTTTTCGGGTTATCTATTAATACAAGATATGATTTAGTAAAGGTGTAAAAAAAAAAACTTTTGCCAACCCCTTGACTATCAAATACGCACCGTACATATTTGTACACCGATATTCATCTTTATTATATTTATTAATACTTTTTAAAAATTTATTTATTTAGTTTAGTTTATTTTACTAGTTATTTTACTGTATGTACTCCATAATTAATTTATTATATCTCAATATTGATCATTTCTAATAATATCATTACTAGAAGTGTTAGTCATGTTTACTTACGTTGTGGTTAATTGGTTTATCCTCGATATTTAGTTTAACACTAATACTTGTTTTTAGATTCTAGATTTTTTTTTCAAATACTATGATTAGAATATGATTAGAATTTCTTTACTAGAAAAATTTACTAGAAGAATTAGGTTCTTTTTTTTAGCATGTTTTTTTTCGTTGTGGTTAATTAGTTTAGGTTCAACCACCAATACCGTAGTTGTTCTAGAATTCTGGAATATTATGATGAGGAATTAACAATGACGCAACAAGAAATTTTAAAATACTGTATTCCAATTATTTTTAGTTAGATATTTTTTTTTGTGACATCGGCATATATTATAATAAATGTTTTAAGTGGTTTGGCGCTCAAGGTAGGTTAATTATTGATTAAAATATTATAAGTCAAAACCATTTATAGCACGACATAAAATTACACAAAATACTGTATAATCAAATGCTATTACGTATATTACATATTAACAAAAAAAACACAATGAAATACTTTAACCATTTTAGAATTTGAAAATTTTATTTGAATCAACATTATTTATATATAATTTAATTTCTATTATTAAAAATAAGTAAATTAAAATTTTAAGAATTTTTTTTAAATATTATTATAAGAAATTTAAACAAAATTTTAATTTTATAAATAATTAATTAGATAATTTAACTTTGGTATAAAAACAATATTGTATATACATAGTAGTAAATTTATAAAATAAAATTAATCTGATTTTTGTTTATCTTTTTTTTTTTTTCCCTTAAGCAGTCACGCTAGTACTTTATTAAGGTTCTTGAAATTACTTTTGCAATTACATAGATTTTCCTAACAACTAA